CTGTGGCATTTCGCTTTGCCCACCAGATCGTCCCAAGAGGGCACAAAGTTTATTTACATTGGGGAAAGGCGTGTGCATAGGTATCCGTGTGGGTGTGTGTGCGTGAAGATGATGCCAGAGTCGAAAACGGGGCCACTGAGGGGACTGTGGCCGGCTGAGTCAGCAGATGTGTCCTCCACTGGCCGGCCGGCCTTTTAACATGGTCACGGCTATGGGTATTTGAACTCCTCCTCCCCCCAGCGGAGTACTGATGGTGCGATAATCGGGCGCATTGACCTTAAAATGGGCAAGATAATGCCCATCCATTGCAGCCGACTATCAATCAACACAAGCCCTTATAGGTTTGTCAGTTGGACTACTACCGTCTCAGTATGCGAGGTGGCTCTACTATAATGCTAACTCTGGTGTCTTGAGTAATAAAACACTTCAGACTAAATCATCAACCAGGGAATTCTTTAAGATGCGACAAATAGAGGATTTTATAAGATGTTGATAAGCCAATTTCTCGAATTTATAGACCTTAATGAAAAAAGGAAAGAAAAATTGAAAAATGGTCTCACAAGCACCGCTTATGTTAGGAGAGAGAATTGAAAAATGACGGAAGACATGCATCGCTGCGTCTCCCAGACTTCTCAATTAAAACTTCCTCTTTCCTGCAAAGGGATGAAAGTAGGACATCAAAAGAACGAAGTGAAATGTAAAGTGATATTTAATGCATACATAAATAAATGCATAAAATTGACTTTGTTATCACAGAGGAGAAAGGTGGAGATAGACTTTACTTCAATGGTGCCTAGCCCACTTAAGTCTCCGCAAGAGTAGGTTCGTTGGAAGGTAAGGCCTCCGGGCCATGCCAGTATCAACCCATCCAGCCCTCCCCAACGTCGATAATACATATTCCGCTTTAGTGTTATGCCGCCTTCTGTCTTCAGGGAAGTCTAGGGGCTCTGTTTCTATTCTTGAATGCTAAACCTTAACGTGACTGAATAAAGCATATGCTAAGGATGGGAGAATCTGTGACGACCCCTAACTGAAAGGTTAAAAGTGACGTCAACCTTTGGCAACCACCTAATGTCATATTCTGCAGGAACGCTATTTTTAACGGTAATAACACTTAAACAAGTTCTTTACGGAGCCATCTACTGTACCTGTATAAAGGTGTTAAGAAAGTGAACACGTTATTCTTCCTCCACATCTCTACCTAGCAAGATAGAAACCAAATTGCTACATATAGCTGGACCGCACTGAATCCGGAACAAAGTGGCAAGAAGGAACAGACTGAAAACTGCATTCCAAAGACACCATGTTATATCTCGTCCCTTATTTAATAACTCTGTCTTTAGGTCAATGTTTTACCACCAGCACTGGACACACGAGATAGCCTACACATTACCCCTTGGCCCAAATACAGAGCCTCAGATTGAGTGGAATGGCCATGGGGGACCAGTGACGTTTCAGTCAGCTATCGTCTCAGTTGCATGTGAATTCCATGGCTAGTGCGGTTGGTCTGTGAGTGTGATGGTAGATGCGGGAGGTTGGCCAAGGGGAGCCCCGGGGTGAGTACGCTTAAAAGCAGAGAAAGGCCAGGTAACATGCTGATTGTTTGCTCAATTCTTCGTTTTAATTTTTGCGGGCACTGTAGGGCGCGGCTATTGCAATTTCGCTAGTCGCCAAGGTCTCCTAACCACGCCAATAGCCCTCAACCCTTCTGTCGGCTGACAATGCACATTCTCCTCCAGTATTATGTCTCCTTTTACTTTCAAGGATGTCTCGGGGTACCACATTTATCGTTTCAAGGTCATATTGTTTGGAACGAATTCCTCTTCTAAACTCACTGCTAAAATTTTGAAGTGTTAAAACGGAGTTAGGGAAACCAGCTTGTAAACCAATAGGAGAAAAGTGTCGGATAATTGCTGAAGGTTACAGCTTAAAAGCATTCAGGTAACTTAAACGTTAATATTTAAATGTCCTGATCTGATAGAAATGTTTTATGGTTCCACTAATTGACACTTCTGTGCATAGAATACAGACCTGAGATCTGACATTGTTCATTTCTCCCTCGAATCTCTTAAAATCAAACCATAGGCTTAAATGAAATCCTTTTTACTTTTATTGAGACATTTGTAATGTCACAAAAAATTCCAAAAAATAACGCATCCCACACAGAGAACGAGGATGAGACCGAGGAGGTGGAAGAGGAGGAAGAGGAGGAGGAGGAGGAGCTCTTCCCTTGCGTCCTAATTTTTGTTAAATGGAATGAATCATTCACATGTCCTATTCTATCTGCAAGTTGTCTCAAAAATCGCTCAAACAAATTAACCCACTATTTATTCACTTTGACACACAAACACGCAAAAGTTGGGGAAACGAGCTCGCAACATTTGATGGGGAAGGCGGACGGGGCGAGGAGGGGAGGCGGCAAGTCTAATCAGGCAATGCACGCGAGATTTCTCGGGCATGAGAGACGATGCTTTCCATGATAAATTCCTCCCCATTAGTACCCATTATTCACCGACCTGCTCATTTAACTTTTCGCATTTCTTCAAAATGTCATGCGCGCTCTCCACCAGAAAGGTTCAGAGTCCATTGGTGGATAAAATTAAACGAGGCGGAAAATTATGCATTTCTGGTCGAATGTTACAGTTAGTGGCATCATTAACCGCTCCATTGGCAACGAGATCATGCGCACATCCGGTAGAGGAGTTTAATGGGCAGCCTGGCAGTTGTCTCCTCAACTTAATCTGTGATTTTCAGAGAGAGACCGAAATAATACCCCCCCCTTTTGGCTGCTCTGGCTGCTTTGTCTACAGGAAATGGCGATTATTCAAACCAATTGTCCGTAATCATAATATGGATCGTTTAAAAATAGTTAATGAGCCATGGAGAAGGGTTAAATCAAGCCGAATGTGGTATTTACCAGTAATAGCAAATCTTTTCTCTGTGTATCTGCCTGTTTTCATTTATCATCTTTAAAAATAACTTTCATGTCAAACTCTTGCGAGGTCGTCATGTTCTTCCTACTCTGTGTTTAACGCTTTTATAGTTGTACAAGACAGAAGGAGAAAATAAAATCTTTGCGTTAACTTGACAGATAACATTTTATTTCGTGTAGAATAAGGAAATCCCATAATAAGAAGCATTCCGCAATACAGAGTGGAAAGTTGCTTCATTTCTCATTGCTAGTTTTAGGTGGTTGGAGAGACCGGTCATCTGCCACTTCCCCGTGAGAAAGCTCGGATGGATTAATTCATTCCACTCACCTTCCCACTAAGGCTAGTTTTTCAGCTGTGTCGCCATTTCAAGCATTGTTAATGGCATTTAGAAGTGTAATGTAAACCTTCCTGATGCCCCTTTACGCCAAATTGGGACGTGGACTGCATTATGGATGGGGCATAGACCCGCTATAAATGTCCTCACCTTGGTGGAGGATAATGTTGGCCCTACTCACAGTGCTTTTTACCTCATCAATGTATACTCGGGCAGAGGAAGTCCTTTAGTGCGCTTCTCGGGTTTATGCTCTACTTGACAAGCACCATTAATGACTTTCTCGGGAGAGGGAGGCACGCCTCATACTTTCAGCTGCAGAAAAAAGGGAAAACTATTGCCATGGAGGAGCATAAGTACTTGTTGATGTATATTTATATTCGGTTGCTTTTGTAATGAGAGGTAGATATGATTAGGTCCAATATAAGCTAAAATTTTCCCCTGTATTATAGCTCAACCAAAAGTTGATTTAATGTCTATGGTAGATTGTATTTTGCACTTTTATCTGCATTATTCTTGGTAAATTGAGTGTGAGGTAGATTAACTTAAAAAAACGAATTTCTAACTTAGTCTAAACTGCAATATTGTAATCATTTGCTTAACGTTTCGTTTTGATCACGATTGAAAGGTGGCTGGTTGACATAACCTCCAAGCCCTTCTCTACATCGCCAATGCATGTTCGGCCCCAGTATTGTGTCTTCTGTCGTCTTTAAGGAAGTCCTGGAGGGGTTACAGTGGTGGCAACAGAAAACAAACTCAGTCCTTCTGCTACGGAGCACTATGCCTTAACGTGACGGCAGAAAGGCATCTGCTGTGGATGAGATAATCTGCAACGACCCCAATCAGTTGAGCTGGAATTGAGGCCTATCTTAGGCGACTACCTCTCTCTCGTGTCCTGCAGGATTGTTAACAACTATGAAGACGCTAGCCGCGACCATCTGGGAAAGTTTAAGTGGCTGTCTGAAGTACCTGAATGGAGATGTCAATGAAGTGAACAAGCAATATTTTAAGACGTCAGGTAGGTAAAATACGCGATACCCCATCCACCTCCCTACTAGCTGGATTGAGGCTAGATTGATATGACCGGGCAACACCGAAGAGAGAACAAAGCAGCAAGGTGAAGCAGACACGATACCATATCTTTAAGAAGCTATATTAAACTCTCCTCTTTATTTAATGATTCGGGTTTTAGGCCGGTGTTCTTGGACTAACTGTGGGCATGTGAGATAGGTAGCACAGCCTTCTTCTCCCATTGCAGTTCCCAAACAGAACATGTCCCATTTCATGTCCATGAAATGGGAGGACTGAGATTACCACTACTTGTTTAATGCAACGAAGACTTCCCTGTTTATCTTGCTTCTTTGATACTCGCAACAAAATATCCCTCTATTGCTACATGTACACCCAGGAGCTGGGATGAACTGGAAGTTGGACGATATTTCGTCTGGCTAAATGTACATAGATATATGCTGGTGTAGAAGGAGGTGTATTTACAAAGCAACTTCGTCTCGTTAACAATAATTCTCCACTTTATTTCGCTATTTGATGTCATATTTTAGGTAATTAAACTCAGTGAATTTAAATAGGTCTCATAATTAGTGTCCTAGATCAGGAAGCTCATAAAACGGTTCGCATAGGCCATTGAAGACACGAAATCATATGATCACGAATAAAAGGGATAATTAGGGGCAATCAGTAGGTATCCAAATGCGTCTTCACTCGTCGCAATTCTTGCCTCAATAATCGTGGTGAATATCGGCCGCCATGAAGACTCGCCCACCACCACCGCGACGAATGCCCGATCCACCTTGACGGTTCGCCTGGACCGTTTTGCTCGCGTACTCCCCATAAGCTGCCGCGAAACCTCTCCTCTGAGGTAAGGTTACGCCATCCATTCTTGAATTTCTGCCCACTCCATTGGGGGCGGTGCGAATGCTCCCACCTACATCCCGCAATGAGGCTGCAAATATGTCGCTCTTCTTGGAGTCTCGATTCCAGACCTCTGGGACACCTGCTTTCCATGTGGTGGCCTCGCATTGGGTGCCCTTGTCCTTAGTGAATTTCTGTAGTGCTTTTCCAACAGGTCGATAGTCCTGGGGGGCTTCCCCACCACCAGTATAGCTTAATTTGCCAATCTGATCGAGCGCCGTGGTAGATTTAGTCAGTTCACTACGATAGAGACGTGGTGAAGAGAAGAGTTCTGCATGTCGTGATCGCGGTGGTGGTGGTGATCCGAAAAAGCGTCGTTGAGGTGGGTCGTAGTACGTGCCCTTCTCCGCATACTGCACCTTGCCTATATCCACTGTGAGAGGGTTGTTCTTCACCATATAACTCTCCACTCTGAGGGTCGACATTTGTGTTTCCACTCTGTTCATTGTTGCACGTTTTTCTGCAAGAGTGTTCGTATCCACAAGCCGCTGGTATCCGCTTTTAGGGCTATCTTGATAGGCCATTTGGCAGATCGAAAGACTTGTGCTGGTACAATTTTCTCCACTCGGTGATGGTGATCTCGTGACCTCATTTATGGTGACCGAGCTCATTCTTGTTGGCGAGGGCGATGATTTCTTTGGTATGACTACTTTATGATTCTTTTCCAGGTCTATCGCCATGATGCATGCAAATACTGTCATTAGCATACGGGGTTTGACCTCGGTTATGTCCTCCGGGACTGCATATATCTTGGCTCCGATACGCCGTGCCACTGTGACTGCATACTGCGCGTTGGAAAGGCGCTCCTAAATAAATAAAACCAAGGAAAAGTGTACAGTTATACGACTTTGGCATTTACAAATACTCGTACTTAGTGAATACATAGTCTGAGAAAACGTAATGCAGCGGTAAATATCATGTAAAGTTCATTCATATGCAAATAAATTATGAAGGGGACGATCCGTAGAATTTGAGGGGAATTCCTCTACCATGTTTATTTTAGCCTGGTTCTGCGAATTTTCTACTTCCTAAAAAGTAGAATTAACGAAAAGTGAATTTCACATCCCCTACACGGCATTAAAGCACTGAAATGGGAAGCGGTTCTCGAGACCCCAGGAGCCAATTAGTATTTGAGGTTGAGGGAACAAGCGGGGCGTGCAGAGCGCAAGCAATATCTATGCATTAAGCTAATTGAGTGGTGCGTTCTGAGTGGGTAGGTAGGTGAGTGGATGGAAGTCAGAGTTAATTATCTTCACTGTCGAGTGATTCCTCTGAAGTCGGATAGCTTCCACAAAGCGATTCTCTTGTATGACAAAAGTTTCCAATGTTTGCCTCTGTTGTTTGTATTCATTAAATGCTTTTAGTCTGGCATTTCAAAACCTCAGATTGTCAAAATTTAATTAAACGTTTCAATGCAGAAGGAGACGTGGGTTGTGCGACAGCCAGTTAATGGTGGGTATATTACTAATTACTGGCTTTGCTGGCTCAACTGTTTGAAGTTTATGTTGATACAAAATTGATCAATTTACAGCTTTACTCTTAATTGTTTATTCCTTAAACATTGTGTGCTGTATGCAATATTTACTGTCTCACTGTTCAACGAAAGTTTGTGGCCTCTGCCAACAACACCCCAATAAAGTTATTTTACAAATAAATTTGCATTCTTATCGAAATATTTAAATTTTCTTTAGCATTTCCGCCTGCATACGGGGTGGATTGTCTTTCAAAGTGGCCTAAACGATAAGAAACATAGCAACTGCACCGCTTTCGCACCAATAATTAGGCCCTTTGTGCAATAAAAGCTTCATGCATTCCTGATGCGATCGCATCAACGTTTATGGCGAAAGTTTATTGCAAAATCGTGTCTTGGTCTCCCCCGTTCACTAACCCTAACTCTTGATACAGTAGGAATTTCTTCTTTCCTCAGTTAGCTGAATCATTAATGCACAATTTGGGAAGTTTGGTGGAAGTTGTAATATTGCGTTATTAGTTTAGGCATTTTCTTGCTTGGATTTTAACGCCAGCTGTTGAAAGGTCACTTTGAGATTCAGGCATTTTTGCATTCTAATAACTCTTTTGGACCTAATTTCATCTCATAAATATCCGAATTCACTTACTCTGAAAGAATTCTTCAGATATTGGGTGACATTATTAGGTGATTTTTTCGAGTGATAGCCAATTTACACTAGCTCGTTTACCAACCATGCCGACAAAACCCTTGAATGCACTGTTCATAATCCAATTCTAGGTGTAAATTGAATAATTACAACTGAAAATTGCTTTTCATTGTTTACTTTCTTCAATGAAAGGCTGAAATGCGGGTGGTTGGATTTCCCCTGGGCTGAATTAACAGAACAATTCAATGTAAATAGTGTCTAATTAACCTGTTTTGCTTAATTATGCATCATGCCTCTTGAGTAGGGAATTGCTCCTCGATTAGTAAGCAATCATCCTTAGCATGCTCCTTACTCATTGGAGGTAATACTTAAGTAAGTTTGTGATTAGTTCCGACTGTCTCAGCACTTTAATAAGTTGGTCTGGATATCACAATAGCCTGTCTCCGTCCCTCCATCTTTCCGCCTATACTAAAACGCACCTATCGAAAACGAGGCAGCGCAGAGAGAATAAAATTGGAGTTTATTTGCGTTTTTCAATTAATATGCGCTTAGAGGCGGAGATTCTGGGCGTTTTCATCAAGTATTTATGAGGTGGGTGATAGGCTAGCCACAATACAGAATTGTTTGCTCAGTTCTAAGCAGCAGTAGTGTACTTGTCACAATTGATCTCTGCTGCCTGGCACCAAAAAAATGCCTATTATTCCTTTTTGAGACGTTGTAGGTAAAAATGTGGTTTCTCTTCTTTTTACATCAATCTGAAATACAACACGACGATAATCACGTTTGCACTAATCCAATTTGGGTCTGCCTGCAGAAGGCTCTTAAGACACTTGGGGTGTAAAAATTGAACTGAAGTATATTTATTTCAACAAGTAAAACACTTTTGAGGTCATAAAAGAGTTAGTAGTCCACCTTTAACCTTTGCACTTTCTCACTTATTTCATTCCTCTTACACCTAACGGAATTTACAAAAAAGTAGCCTCTTTTTCACCCACAAGTAGGAGGGCAGCAATTGTTTGTCTTAAAATTAATAAATATTTGTTTTAATACCTCGCAATTATATGCCAATGAATTGACCACATCCGTAAATAAATTCGTACAGAGGGAAAATTATTGTATTACTTTAAGTAGCATCTTCAAGCCTTTTGGCATAGTGAATGAATGATAAGTATAATGAGAGCATAAAACGCCTTTTAAGGAACTATGAGGATGGAAAACACAGCTTGTCAAACTCGTTTAATGTTTGCATTTTACCTAAACAACTTAGAATATCAAAAGTGAAAATTCTCATCTTCTTTTACATTGGGTAAATGACCTGCGTTACACCGATCAAAGGGTGCAACGAATCTGCCAGACTGTTGTGACTGCAAAGTCTAACCCTCCGTAGTTAAATGGGGGTAAAAAGGTTTCCAAAACTTACGGGTTTATGCGCGTCGCCCTTTCTTTTGTGTTTCAATTAACTGATTAAATTTTTTGTCGCGATGAGGATGCCGCATTCATCAATTCAAAGTGGCAAACACTTAACGGGTCTCAAAACAATAAGGGATTGTTTAATCGACCTTTCGAATGAATCTGTCATTCACACTAGTTTGAAAAAATCCCAGTCCCTTTTTTATGGGAATGAAGCGTCGCTGCGTTGATAAACAAAAAATGTCATCTCACTTCCTCCATAGCAAACCATTTTTGATGTTTCCGATATTTAAAGTTGATAAAATTGTCAGCACTTTTTAACAAAGAAATTAATATGCTTATTTCACATTTATATTGAGGCTAAAATGGCATGTAGTTAGTTACTACGACGTTTTCTGTCCCTTCTATTGCCCAATCTGTCAGTCATAGGACAACGGAAAATAGAAAACAGCGCAAAAAAGATAACGTAACTGTAGAAAGGATTCTGACAATTTACCCAGAAGCACAGTGTATATACAGACCCTTACCAGTTCATTTAACAAAGTCTTTTCTCTATCATACACAATATTTATTTATACTGCATAGTTCCAAAACAACGACAACGATGGGTGGAGTCAGTTAAACCTACTAGACTTGTGCTTATCATTTACTAGTTTTAGAACCTCTCTCCATTTTATTCCTCAAAGGTTATTTTCCAGCGTCACACAGGTGTGATGCATGTTTTTCATTAGTTTATCGTAATTGGTTGAAGCCGAGCAGATTGGTTGCACCGATCTGGTTCCCCTGAGATTAATTATTTTCTAAATTCTGAGCAGCAAGACGTTATGTAGAGTATATCTCTTGCTGGCTGTGGGAGTCGGTTTCGTCCGACAGCCTGGTAGCGCATAGGTCAATAAGCTACCTAAATGACTGGTAAAATTGAAAGTAACACGTGAATGACGTACTGCAGGGGTGAGTCCTTTATTGACCACGCTATAATCCACACATCCCGGACTGATGGCATCCAGCAGGTCAATGATCAGAAGGCCATTTCTTAACTCAAAATCGGAGAATCCGGCACCCACGGAGATGCGACGTGGTTTGTTAGCCCCGGCCAGACGTCCATTAACCCAGTCGATAATGCCGCGCTCCGAAATGATTGGCATGTTGGAGACGGGTGAACGAGCCCTGTGGTAGCCCATCGTGTCCGTCCCCTCCGTTCGCTCCGCCAACTTCACCAACAAGGAGAGTGTGTAGGCGCGCATCAGTTGCCATAGCAAAGCCAGAATCGGTGTCATTTTCCGATCCTTGAGGTCAGATCCAGCCACTCCAACTAGACTGAAGCCCGCTCGTTGACCCAATTCGACCATATAGTTACAGTTCTCTGAAAGGGAGGAGATGGAATCTTGACGCACCTCTTAGTACTCTGACACACTATTGGGGGATAATTATATCTATTTTAGTTGTTTTAATCAACAAGTAGACCTCTTCTTTTTCCAACCTAGTGACATGGAGCCCCCCTCGTTCCAGAGCTCCAGTCCTGGTATACAGTTACCTCATAACTCATTTTAAGGTGACTAGAGCGCTACACGATGAAGATACCTTAACAGAGGGTCGTCCAGTCTGATTTGTAATAAATGCGGAAGTAAAAATGCTAAATAAGTTTGACGGTTCTGTCCAATGTTTGCAAAAGGTTGAGAGTCATTTACGAACAAACGTCATTATGTAATTGTGTCCAAAGTTTATGACCATTAGGCAGTGGAATGATAGTTTCCGTTTCTGCCGCAACATTTCCCATCTATTAAAGCAGTTCATGCTAGAAGAAGCATGGGAACCGGATTGAGTTGCCCCAAAATGGTGAATTGACTTTAGTTGCAGTGCAAATAAAAATTGGTGACTTTGGTGGTGAATTCCCTCAACTCGTTTAAGCTTCGAAAGTTTCGTCATGGCTCAAATGTTGTCCAAATGTATTTTGTCTATTGAAACGCAGGTGTAACAGTCAATGGTCCTTGCAATCTTGCTTTGCTGATGTGGAATGAATTCTCCATATAAAAGGAAAGAGGAAACCTCCAGATACAATTTAAACCTAAACTATTAATGAAATCGATTATGCAATTCCCTCCTCTCTCCCTTCCGCGGACACAAGAACATCATGTGTCGTTTGCTACTAATCTCCTCCCCACTGCCGTCCCCTCCCACCTATTCCCACTCATAGACGAAGGCGGTGAGACACTTTTAAGACATAAATCGCCTCTATTTGTTTTGGCTCTCGGTGGCGCGGCTATGAGGCAGCACGCGCCCACGCACGCATGCACGCAAGCAAGTGGGTACACGCTCCTCCCCTATCCTTCGGCCAGCCCTCGCCCACACTCCCCCTCAAGTATCAGTAGCAGCAGCAGCAGCAGCATTAGCCATGGCTGGAACACGAACCGCCCTCCTTTGATGTTACAGCGTTGGAGTACGCATGATGTTGCCTTCTCAGTCGTGCTCCTCTTCGTCGCTGATGTTACTGTCACCGCTACCGATCAGATAGAGAGGGAGAGGAGAGAGCTACAAAGTCACCTTCTAAAGAAAAGCCATTAAGAGGGCTCCCCACTTGACGCACAGACACGCACTCCGCTTTTTGTGGATTTAGTTGCAAAGATCTAGTCCAGTTCACACCTAGAGTGGATTTGTTGTCACATTCAGCAAAATATATCGTTTTGTTTATTCCAGTACAGACTAATCTCATTGTAACTTGTGTACTTCCCGACCTCTTAATTAAGGTACGTAAAGTTAAATTACATATGAGGCTATTTTTAGCATTGAAATTGGATCGTGCATAAATTTCTGCTTAAGTGCCAGCTTACCGAGGTGCTGAAAATTGGCTTTGGCCAGGCCAGTCGAGAAAAAACGATTGACCCGCAACCAATCGACACTTCCAGATTTGATAAGATCGTAGAGTTTGAAAATCACAGTTCCAGAGAAGAGGTCTCCATAGAGGCTGTGGACCACCGTCCGTAGACCCATTGAGTTGATCCAATTACGATATGCTGTAAGGGGCGACAGACCGAGGTAAAGTTAACTTATTATGGCTGAGCTGGCACTTAATTTTACGCTTTACATATGTAAAACCTCTACATAACGTTACTGTACATGGCTGGCCGCATGCTTTGCCAATGTAATCTTTTCAGGCTCCATTGTTTGAGCTTCAGCTAAGCCGCGTAAACAATAAAGATATGGTAAAGGGGAAATTGTAGGGACCCTGAAAATATCCCCATCAAATCTGGCCTTACACTGTTTTACGTGATTAGTCAGAATACTAGTAGTTTGACAATTCCCACCACCCACCATATTAAGAGGTTACAAACAGGAAAGGCAACTGTTTTAGTAGATGGAGACTGGAACAAAACTCGTTATTTTGGAAAAGATCACGACATATTCCTTGTCAGGCTATTTTGACAATAAGGGAAATTCTGTGGCAGTTAAATAACAAGGAATATCTATTTATATGCTTGTTCACACTGGGAATGCTAATTTATTTGCAGTTGGTAACTGGAGGAGTTGTTCAAACTAAACTAAGCTAACTCCTTTGGGGTGCTTAAAATACTGGTTTGGGTGGAGATCTATTGGGATAAAAATGGGAGGTTTATTAAACCCTTTTAAATAATTAACTACAAATTGTAGTTAAAGTGGTCTCTCCAGGTGAGAAATGCACTGCACCGGACTTCTGCTGACGATATTCCCTCGGTGGTAGCGTCAGCAGCACCGACATTTGCGTTTTCCAGTTAGGCAGGGCAAAAGGCGGACCTTCGGTGGAACTTGCCATCTAGCGCTTTCACTACTCATTCATTCATCCATTCATTCACCCACTCATTCATTTTCCTTCTACCTCGTGTATCATGAAAAAAAAGACAAAGAAGCCACATCCAGTGAAAAAAGACCACTTGCCTATTTTACTGCCGCGCATTCCCATCCGCGATGCTACAACATATTTTGCCACCCGAGTAACAATTTATCTTGGCAGAATCTTTACGGTATCGTGAAGCATGAAGAGAAGTCAAAGTGAGTGTTTTTAGCATTAAACTTGGGGACTATTTCCCCATTTTTCCTTCGCCTGTTCCGGGAATTCTATTCAGATGTCCACTTTAAGACCCAGACAAACAGTACAGATCAGAATCCCTTAAATTAATTGCGTGCTTAGTTGGTACTTTCTTTGGGGACGCTTATGACATCTCATGAGCCAAAAGAAAGCAACGCTTTTTTACCACCACTCCTTAAACGTGGTATGCATGACGTAGTGAGCCAAATTGTAATTTGCTTTGCCTTTGACAATTATTTAGACAAAATTTGGTCTGATTATTAGAAAGGTTTCATATTATTTCAGTCTGTACCAACATGGTATGAATAAAGGTTTATTTTCACTTTTTGCCAGTGCCACTTAAACAAACTCCATATGATTTAGTAGTATATCCTTAATTTATGTGCCTAAGTTTATAAGTTGCTGACACGTATGAATGCATTGGTTGCGTATGATTGCTTGAGTACACCAGGATTTTGAGTTCAATTAAGGTGCTACGATTAGAAAAATTAAGTGGGACTTGTGTTATCATACCCACTTCTTTTGACAGGGTCCGTGCTCCACAAAGGGAAGATAATCAAAGGCAACAGTCGTTTTATGAGTTTCTTAGAAGTTCAACATCTGCATAAACAATTACTAGTAACTGGCACTCATCTTTGCGTGGTTTTCGACCCTTTATTCCTCCTTCTTTAGCTATTGTTGCCACCATCACTCATACTGGCGTAATTGTTTTCATTATTACTGTGCCGTCTGGTTGGCTTGTTCACTCGGCCCTTATGAAACCACTGCATTATTAGAACTACAACCAACGCAGTCTCCTACATGGAGTGTTCTTCAGTTCTATTAAATGGCCTGTCCTCATCGTGCGTTTTGGCTGATGAGAATGATTGGGCGCCCTCAACCCTTAGGTCTCACAAGTGACAGCACATTTGGCTTTGGGGAGGCTTATCACATGTCCGACTTCACTTAATGGGACTTTATTAGCTGTTGATTAACTAACTAGAGCTAGGGCTAGACTCTACACGTCGTTCAACCACTAACCAGTTGTTTGGCTGGATCAACGCTCCATGTGGTCGTCTGTCTTGCCCCCATAGGAGCAGAAGTGTGTAAGAATGTTTTATTGCCTCACCTCGGCCTTGCGTTCATCAGATAACGGCTTCTATGTGAGGCGTGCGCGTAGACGAATGAACAACAAACCAACGAGCCTACGAACGTTCGAGGCAACGAATTTGATGCTGATACCGATAAGGCAGGTGAACGAATGCTGTGGGATTTTCGAGAATTGCATGCAATGAGGAAGAAACCAAACTCTCTTGGGGTCAATGCAAATACGGCAAATTCTCGCCTCAGCCGAGTGGCTACGAGTGAATAGGCACTCCCACTCATTTTAAAAGCATAGCTGACTTAAAAGACGTAAAAATGCATTCACGCACGAAATTGTGGCGCAGAAATTGCGTTCGAATCATAAATTGCGCAGCTTTTGGCCATGGAAGCAGCATATCGAAGTGAACTCTTGCATTCAGCTACTTCACTTCTGTGGAGTGTCGTGTCTTATAACTTCTTGGAGGTAAAATTGGAAATATTTTGAATCCAGAAATCCAACAAAGATGTTAATTCTCGCTTTTTAATATGAATGCCAAACTTTTAGACTTCAGTTACATTCAAGGTCATTCTCTCCCGCGAATATTTTAGTGTAGCTTGATTACAAAATGAATAATGAAGGAGACCTCAGTATGAAGGCTTATTTCTTCTGCTTCTCCTTCCCCTTCTTTTCCATTTAATCTATGTCGAATTGTGAGAGCCTCCTTGCAGGGGAAAAATCTGCATAATGAATTGCCTCCTGCTCTACTTTGACAGCATAATTTCACTAATGAAAGAACCCTTTTTTTCTGTGATCAACAAAAAAGAGGAAGAGGGAAAGTTTAATTGCATGTAAAGTGGTTTTATGTGCGTTATTTAAGGGCGAATGCTTTTTTTTCTATGCTAATAAACATTTTAGCTGCATGCACAGTGACAGTCACATTAATATCGTAGACAGTAGACAGTTGCGACAGGGTTGTGTAATGCCTGTAAGTAAGCAATGACTGGATGTTGTTAGATTTATGGGGTTGTACAAAGAGACAGTGGATAATGCATTTACTTGACTACGGAAGAGCATACTTTGCTGATGGAAGTGAGTCACATCTGCGAATCTACTCCCACCTTCGATCGCATCCATGACGGCTGCTTACAATAGGCCAAAGCTTAGGGAATGTAAGCGGTTAGAAGGGTCTAATTATGTTCACCGAAAAATTTCACTATTCCGATAGGGTTAAGTAGAGTATATGACCTGCGTGCATCATGAGATTGGAGAGGCCATAAAACGCTTTGCTTATCGAATCATGAATAATTTATGCAATGCCTGCTTTCGTGTATATCGAAGCAGCATCAGATTCGTGGATTTTATGGGTGCCCCTTCGAGTTATTGAAAACACTAAAAGTTTCCTGTCCCCAGAAAAGGCTGCTTCAGTTCGTTGAATTTGCTGTAGTGTAATACTTTGCTTACTTATTTACCCCTTTCTTCTGGCTCCGTGGCACTTAAGGCTCTGCAATTTTGGGCCCGCTGGGTGGCACGGCCCTTAGGTCATCCCAGTGGCCCCACCGAGCTCTTCTCTTCTCAGCGGTACATACCTTGCCTCAGTATTATGTCTTCTTTCGTCTTTAGGGAAGTTATGGTGCATTACACTTATACAGCGTTCATTCACTCCCATCGGTTCGTGTCGTGCCATTAATCACCCGCGAATGTGTGATCACGATTTGGTGGTTACTGAGTCACTATTTGTGATCCATTTGATTTCCGGGCAGCAGATGGTGCAGATGCCTTCAAAGTCACCGGAGATAGAAACGACCATTACTTAAAAACCGGCAGCTCATCGATGCCTCCCACGGTTCTTTAATGGTTTGTAATACAACAGTGATAAAAACCACTTTGCTCTAAAATTCTTTTCTGGTTGTTTTGTCATACTTCCTCTCTATCCCAAATATCTGGTTAGAACATTGTTGGAGTAGAAAGTGGGATCCTACTTTGTCCTACTTTTGTTCTTTTCTTGTACTTCGCAAGTTTGTTTTCTATTCGCGCTATTCACGCTTCCAGCTTTTGAGTCCCTTTGTACAATTCCAACAGAATTTATCTACCCGCGAAAAGGGAACAGTCCAGGCATTACAGTGGCCTGAGTTGAAAAATTTGCCCTACAGGTCCTATCCTTGGGAAGGACGTGGGCCCTTTCACTGATGCTTGAAGTAACCCACATCTAAGTAGACCGACCGGTCAATATACGTAGAAATGATAGAAGAAGGATCTCCTTTGAGAATACTTAAGTCTGGTGAGGCCCACAATAAATGGGCTAACGAATCCAAATGACTTGTTTGTTGTTATTTTAATCTTGAGTTCTGCTTCACAGCCAATGATGACTCGGGGACATATTTAATGAATTGAAAGTACTCCGTGGTTATTAAGTCATCCACATGGTGTTTGAAGCTATGAACAACCCGGAAAGACGACTGATCAGTCTTAAAATGTCAGCGAAGCAGAAGAGACTGATTAGTACAGCAACGGAAAGTGCTGTTAAATGGATCGTTTTAGCAGCCTGTGTTGCTAGTTCTCCAGCTACCCCTATACTCATGCGCCTGGCAACGTTTTCAGCGATAACTAGAGGTCTTCAGACTATCCCGTTATTTAATAAGAGCGTTCATTTAAATGCCCTAATCCTCCACTCACCAGTTCAGTGGTTCATTAAAAGAACTGTATTGTTTATAAAACTGGGACAATTTCTTTAGACCCGAGAGCCATTAGCTCATATGTGTAAGACACGGAGGGAGGGAGAAGAGAGAAGAAGGAAGCAGACGGATTGGCGAGGCTGTGTGGAGAGGAAGTGTACGGGATCACTCGGCAAGGTACTTGCCAGTGAGTTTGGTGTCCTTCCCCCCTAAGAGATCATAGTTAGCGCGAAACCAGGCGCGGGGCACACGAGTCGCCTGGGGGGCCTGAGGCAGAAGGACCTTAAGCCACGCCAACAGGCACTCCCATCGACTTGGGGGAGGTTGAGGCTCTTCTTCGCCTACGAAACCAGACAAAAGGACACCGTGTTACTCTCTCTCTCACACCTCCTCTTCCTCCGTATCCCTCCTTCTTCAAGCCGTCTAAATAATCTTTTACCAACTGCTATTCTGAAGGATTTCATGCTCTATCATACTCGGAAACACCGGACTGTGTTTAAGTAAATTGAGCGTTCGCTTTATCGGACAACAAGTTTAAATTGCATTTGGGTGTCTGGCTTATTAGGGAATAACACTTAAAAATTTTGAACCTTGGTTATAAGTTAGCTATGTGTGCCAGCAGAATGTCACAAATGGCGAATCTACCAGCGTTAAATTTTTCTTACTTGATGAAGTATTCCGCCATGGATGATATTGTGATATGTCTGTATCGCCTATTCCTTTATGGGCGCATAAAAAGGACCAAAGCGACTCAAAAGGCCTGCTCAGTCAGTGGATTTTCAAGCGTAGTGTGGTGGGTTTCGGTGGCTACCTTTGATAAATCCCTGGCTCCTATTTAGCATCACGATATGGCAAATGAGTATCAAAAAAGGCATTTAGCTCTTGGTATGGTTGATCAGAAGGAGTCCAGCCTTTTGAATATGACCTTTCAATGACTAAGAGCTTCGTGCTATGTTTATGAAAGCCTCGAATTTAGTTTTTACTAAGTCCAACCTCAAACCAGATGTTTTTTTTTCTTCTCTTTTAAAAAGTTGATGAGTTCAAATACCAAGAAACTACTATCTTTATACCTTTTTACGACCACAGATTGCTTAAAACATATCGGTTGGATGCCAAAACCGAAAAGGTCAACACGCGTTTAAAACAACCGCTGAAGTTGGACTGCCAACTTTGAATTTTGGTGGTCCACAAAAATGCTTTTAATTACCCACATTGGGAAAGAGGATAATACGTGGACTGATGAAAGGTTCGCGGTAGGGATAATAAACCCTACCTAGTTTGTCATTATGTGGGATAAAAATGGATGTAGGGAGGAGGTAAACCGAAAATTGTAGATAAATCATGCTGATACATTTGTGTCGCGTTATGGCAAAAGTCATGAAGACCGTAATTTGTAAAAAAGAAGTCTAACTCTCATTTTGATTGTATATTCAATCTATGGGTCATTATTGTGTTTTCAAAATCTTACGGAATCCATCGCTTCAACATAGAGGTACTAATTTTTGATACACGTTTTTTCTAACTTTCGTAGCAGCCTTTCCGAATTCACTAACACAATAGATCTTTCCCCAAAGAGAATGTTGACTTCCACAAACTTATGTCTTTCGTGCACTAGCTGGCGAATGTTCTAACTACCTTATATTATCCAAGTGCTCTTACCAGCAATAAGTAAGGAGGAAAATGACGGGAAGCCTATTCCTACTTAAGTTTGATGCTCTCAAGGTAATCATTTTGACAGGAGGGAATAGGATAAGCGGATGATTCCATTTAGAAGATTGCTGGTGTTCATTAAATAAGCACTTTTATTGTGCTCAATATTCTTGTTATCAGAATCTCTAAATAAGGGAGTTGTTTTACCTCAAGTTATACCATCACTTCTCCTCAGAGCAGGATTATCTTACCCTTACTAAAAGGGTGTTGAATGCAACCAATAAGGATATGTGTGACGCTGGTGGGAATCTTGTTGTTACTACTTGGAATTGTTATTTTCAAGGCTAAAATTCATGTTTAACTGCATTTATGCATGACATTAATTATGAAATCCTCTTAATGCATTTTGTTTCGGAATAACCTCAGGACTAATGAGACCGTACTAACTTAAAAGGGGTTTTTGAAGTTTAAACGGTCAGATTGGATCAAATTTAGGAAGTATTGACACATCTTAATTGTATCATAATTTAAGTTAAACTTAATCATGATTCAAAAAATTCTTCCTTTTTGACTAATCTATTCACAGTTGTGGAAACACCTTAGCAGAATGGAACTGCAAACTATGTGAGTAAGGACTCTCCAGAAACCAAAAAAAACATTCTAGAGAATCGGGAAAAGATCTGAAGAAAAAACTCACTCTTTTCCTCCCGAGTCTCCTCGATGACAGGTGCGGGCTGTTGTGGAGTTGGAGGCTCGAGAGCGGGGTTGGTGTTGAAGAGGTTCGCTAGAAAGGCGAGGTTCAGCTTCATAGACCCATTAATAATGTCCTTAGGTTGTACGAACACCCGACAGTTGAGCTTTTCCGCATTTTGCAATACCATCTCCGCGCGTTGCACTAAATCCACTGCATCTAGAATGGCCTGCGTTGGAGAAAGGAGATTAATTACCTAAGTTCGTCAGTAGGTTGTTTTATTTCAACACGCAGATAATTGACTTAGCTGCTACCTACAGTTAACAAGATCCTCACCAAACTTTTAGGTAAAGAATACCCCGTAATTGTTCATGAATTTCTAGATTTATGCTAATCGAAAACACGTAATCAACCAAGCATCATATGGGAGAATAATATAACGAAGAATTAAATATTAAGTGTCCTGTTTTGCAAAGACATGTAGGATTCTGCTGCTACGCTCAAATATTACTATGAAAATTTATAGTCATATGTACACCTTGATGGACTCCATATGCTTTTATTTATAAATGTAGATTTTGTTTTAACATTTGGTGCATTCATTTATGATTACAGATTTTGTCACCTTGAGAGAAATTTGAACTTGAGGTTCCCGGTGGAAGTTACTTTTCCGTCATTTTAAATGCATTTTAATCTGTTTTAATTCTCTTCTAAATTATGGCATGAATCGAGCCTACACGTATTTTAGCAATTTTAATGGTCCGTATTCTTTGCCTCCTTTGTCGAACACGCTAATGTCATATATTTTGTGCAGCATTTTCTACCGCCTTTATCTCCTGACTACTTAGTAATAAATTGACACAATATAACCACTTTCAATTCTACTGACTAGTAGCGCAAGATAAACCATTTGATCAGTGTAAATGGGGACTTTTGGATTTGCTTAGGAGATTTTAGCTTATGACGGAAACGGGTGTTTTGACCGCTTTAAAAATGAGCTCACCTTTGAGGAGTGAAGGAACGGTTTTTTCTCCGGTGGACTAATTTGCTCTAGCAAGTAGGCGTAGACCTCGCAGTCCTGTGCGGATTGAAATGATAAACGATTTGAAGAGCGTGATGAGTAGCTGCCTTAATCGTCATGCGCACATAAAATCTACAACTAACCCATAGGTTGTTCGAGGGTCGGCTAACAGGTGCCCTAAAAACCACCGATTAATTAATTTGCTATACTTTTAGATGGCAGTAAATAAGAATTTTGCCTCTCAATGTAGAACGCGTGTGCGCCAAATGGATTATGCCGCCTCTGATGGCTAAATGATGGAATACTTCAACAAGGACTTGTGTCTTGCGATAAATTTATAAAGATATTGAAGAATTGCCCCGGGTTTTCAGTAGATTTTTATATTCTTGTGACTACACTTCGAGGGTCACCATCAATAAAGTCCCTCATGAGTCTGGAGATCTCATTGTAGCGCTAAAGGCATCCTTCTTGGCAAGATATAATTTATTTTTCTTACCAAATGAACGCACTATTTACTGCTAAAAAAGTAGGTGGTGAAAATTTTGGAAAATTCGTAGAGATATTACCCTTAATTCACTGTTACTGAATAATTTCCTAAGTTTTTAGGCAGACATTTAAAAATGTGGGGTGAGTTTAGACTTCTCTTAGTGATAAGTCAAAATACCGGGTGTAAGTCCGTGGTACTCCGTTGGCAAATTTACATCCTTTTTCAAGCTAGTCCGTCAAACATTTAAAAGTGGCTTTCATTTACATCCATGACTAGAATATGGCTCCACAGCTTGTGAAGTTAAAACCTTATCTCTCTAAGTAATCTTTTGTTGTTTCTACCACCTTCCCACTTAGGCATTTTGAATGCGTATTATAACCTCAGACCAAAATGTAGGAAGTCGCGATGTGAAACCAATGGCACACATGTCTGAACAGCTCAGATGCCGGCACAATTGTTTTACATCGAGAATGGGATCTAGAATTGGATTAAGAGTGCAATTAGACCCATTTTTGGCAAAAATTTGGCAAATGAAGAGTAACTCTTACAGTCGCATAATTGCGTAGGCCTCAACGGACAAACATGCACACATGCATAAACTGATAATCACGATGATCATATACTACATTATGCTAATAGCGTCTGCACGAAGGTTGTGATAACCAACTCCTTGTAGCTAATGCGATGCAAACAATCGCTGGCCTCGCGTAAAGACGCGTCACGCAGAAAGAGGCATGCGACGGTGAAATGATTATTCGGCTGTCACGGTAGCCGAGTGTCATGCAAATGAATGGTCAAGGACCGGTTCGCAGAAAAATATTCTTGTATGATTTACTCATCAGCTATATCCTCTAAATTATTGCATGCAACCCAATAACTCCTGGCATCTGTTTATTTTGATCATTTCGGTACTTTAAATTTTGATTTGATCTTTTGTTCCTAATCTCAATCATTGCAATGTGCATTTGTGAGTTCCAAAGTACTCTTGTTCCTTAACAAACCTGGCTGCATATCTTGAGACATATCTTGCTAAAGTGAATTTGGGAGAGAAAACAGCACGGGTATTTCACACAACACAAGCAGTGCCTTACCTTAGAGCTGAAAGCATGTATACAGTTGTGAATGAGACCATCAGTAAAAAGCCTTAAAAAGCCTTACATGTATCAAAGCTCACGGTTTATCCATAAAGCACCACGAATATATATTCGATAGCCTAGCGCTAGCGATTTATAATATCAGTAGCTGTGCATTTTACCGGCTTCATTGCTACAGATAGAATACAGTCTAAAGAAGATGCAACAGCGGAAACAATTACCCAAAAGCATGACTTATTAAATTGCTTCTAATAGCGAGTGATGCCAAAACAATTGCTCTACACTTAGGTAGGTCGTGAAAGACGCAAAATGCATAGGTGTCACTTAGGTTTTAAAAGATTTAATAAGCACCCCAATTTAACAATCTGAATCTTCATTTTTTTTTACTAACTCCATGTAATCCCAACGCTTTTCTGATTTTTCCTTCACTAACTGCCCGACTTGTGATGAGGAATGGTTTTTGGATTCTACCATTAAGCAAACGAGCGTATTGTAAAGTATGCTCAAATGGTCAACTCACCACCCACGCTACACTACTATGGGAGGCACCTCCTCATCCTCAGACGACCATGCTTTGTACGTATGTATGTGTGTGCGTGTACAATGGACCGTAAACGAGATTGTTCACCATCCCACTAAGACTGAGATTTAACTACTCTTTACGATACAACTCGAAAGTGTGTAAGAAAGCACTTTCGTATAAACTGTCAGGGCCGGTTTATCGAGTAATGAAAGTAAAGTCCAACTTCTACAAGACAACGCAGGGTGTCATAAGCGTGGGAAGATTAAGATCTTTACCGATAAAAGTTTTTAAAGTTTATCACCTTTTCTTAAGCAACAAACAATGGAATGTAAAACTGAAATAGAAACAAAATCAGTTGTGGCTATTTTTTACTATTAGAGACAAAAATTTTTATTGAAGTGGGGTCTGAAGGATTACATCTTGCTGAAAAAGAACTGTCTTAGCAAATGGAACGTAGTGAGCTACGTATTTAAAGCACTGCATTGTAAAAGTCATGTACTCACTTTTACATCAATGGTAAAGTTTTCCATTCTTGCATCGCAATCAGCACGTTTGAGGTGGTAGTTGACCCACCGCATCAAAATTTGTTCGGGAGCAAGCTTTGCGAATTCCGTTATTGTCTCATCTTCATCCAAAAGAGCAACTAATTCGCTGTGCGCCACCACATTTATTTGACGCAGCAAACCAATCTATGCAGCAAAAGTAAATTGTTTGGCTGTTTTTTTGATAGCTTCGATAAAAACCTTCTTTTGCTAGATGTAGTGGGTTATTTTAGTCTTAACAGCAAAATGTAGTAAAGAGGCTTGTTTTAACTATCTGATATATAAAAATGGTTTTAGACTATTGCCTAAAATTGTTTAAACTTAATACATCTAATAGAACTTTTGGCATACCAGTTTTACTTTTTCAAGATTTATGTTTAGTAGGACGTTCATTATATTTCTTTTGGACTTATGGTTTGGTGCTGCCAAAAATGTTTGGATTACAAACTCTTTAGGTTAAATCGACTTGCCTTAATTATTTGCCATAATAGGCCTAGTAATAAATGGCGAGTCCCATCGACTATGTCTGCTGCTCCAATGTTGACAACATTGCACCCAATCGCACGAGCACTGTTTAATGCCAGCGTTATATTTTCCATCACCTGGTAAGTTGTCAGTCGTTTTCCACGATGAAGTGCCCGCAAATCAATCGTCTGAGGTGCAGAACAGTTGATAATTTTGCTAAAGGAAGAGATTTGGTTTTTCATTGGTAGGATGTAAAAGGGTTCTATTAACTTTCTAAGCTTATATTACCTATAGTCACAAAAGTATATGTGAGGGGAATAAATCAAAAATTAGAGCTTTCATTACCACAAAAGAAATCCATCGCTGCACTTTTCATAGAGATCGTCTCCATTTTCCTTAAAAGGGAAGTACTCTTGGCACATTTTATCTTCGTATAGATTTCTAATATAGCGCATAATTTGTTAAATTTCATACCTTTCTAGCCATCCACAGAATGCAACTTGTTCATCTTCACTAACACTGTGAAGAGTATCATCACCCTGTGGTGATATGGAGGACCCATATTGATAAATAGTAGTCCGTACAGCCTGAGGATCAACAGATCCAGAGGCTTCTTGCTTACAAAATTCTTGATACAACTAAAAACTGTTAAGAGTTTCAAACTTTACCCTTTTAAATTCTCTAAAGTTAATGCGTTTTTGTAAAAAATCAACTTGGCAGTTTTCTAAAGCTTGACGAAGATCACCGTGTGATTTGTGGAACCCTAGAGATTTTAAAGCCGCAAGTATTCCAGTCTCATGCAAGAACCCGCTTTGGTCCGGGTCGAACTATCTTATAAATTCAAACTACAGAAAGGCATACCAAATTAAAAACCGTTAGAAGGTCAGAGAACTTAGCGGGCTGTTTATCGTCACGAGATCCCATTATTGGGTATTCGGATGCGGGTAGGATGTCAGAAAAAATTCTTGTGTAATTCAAGGTCATGCGCAACTAATTCGATACATATAAACACGCAAGAGTTTCTCTTAAAAAAACGTATTTACATTTTATAAAAAGGTAACTCTGTGCTTATTAAATTTGTTCAAGGTTGATGTACCAGTTTGAGTGGTGTTGTTCTGCTTGCATGTATCTATGTGCTAAATAAATAATTTGTGGTGCTAATGCATCAGCTCACATAATTTTTACTTGGTTTACCATCAATTTTCCATAATCAAGGAAATAAATTATTTAAAGACCACCAACCAAGGCTTTTGTCAACGCTGCTTGCATCTCCTCCAATAACTATGTGCAAACAAACTCCCTCCAAATTTTAATAAATTGCATGTTTGTAATTTTGCTTGATTTAGAGTGCAGCTGGTGAAACAAATTGTGTGCAAAAAATGCCCCACCAGTGTTTATTTAGTGCTTCCGTGTCAATATTTTTCGTGAGATTTTAGGACACTTTGAATTCAACTTTGTGGTGGGTGATCACACATTTTTGTAGCGTCCCGGGACTCCCTGAAGACGAAAGAAGACACAATACTCGTGCAGAATATATATATTTAGCACGGAGAAGGTGTCTGAGCTATTGGCATGGCCCAAAAGCCAGCCCACCCAGCGAGGTACAAGGGGCTAATTCGAAGTACAAAAGTGGCGCCTCACCAGAACCGAGGGATAAACCACTATCGTATTACATTTTAGTCCTTAAGAAAACCGTAGTTGCTACCCTGATTTGCTCATGTTTACTCGTAATGAATGGCCTTAAGTCCATAATATGGCATCTGAAATCGAGTGGGCGGCGGAGCTACGACTTTCTCTCTGAAAAGTAATTAGTGCATCACAATATATTACCCACTGTACAACCCAGCAGCCACGTTTTACAGTCCTATGCAAATAGTTCTAGCTAAATTATTTCCAAAGCATCTCACCAGCATACCTATTTTTGACACACGTACGGATCGTCTACATGAAGTAGGTTTAATACTAAACCAACAAAGTTAATGTTTTCCTATTAATTAGACCTGAGACAGTTTTGTCAAACAAAACGGAAGTAGCAGAAGACCGCACACAGCGAATCAGGGCATGGTCTATACAAACCACCTAGATAATTTGACAGTCTTCTGAGCTCAGCCGACTACTACAGGTATTTAGCTAAAGTGTAGCGT